TTACAGCAAGCTCTTTCAATACTATAATAGATTAAATCAAGGATTTGAGATATTTGATTAACATTCAGGTTAAAAGATCGCATGTTTACTGCACTAAGCCACCTCAGCTTTTCATTTCAACTGAACACTTCTAACACCATCTAGTAAAATAAATCCTGAATAAAACTAAAAAAGTCAGAAACAGTGCAAGAAATAAAATGTTATAGCAAGAGAAAGAAAAAGTTGAAAATGACATGAAAAATTAAAACAATAATGAAATGGAGCTATTGAAGAAACAAAATAAAAAAGACAATTGATGCTGAAAATCATGCAAACGAATTCTGGCCCCTCTTTGTCTTTCACATGTATTGAACATGTACATTAGCTAGTTTATATGTATGTTCAGAAAATATCTTGCATTCCACAAAATAAAACTACATGCTTTTGTCTACATTTGTTTAGAACACTGTCCCAATCCTATTTGAACACATTTAATTCACCATTTTATTATCACTAAGCATTTTACTTTTTCCCATTTTATTGCCAGTGAGGTAATTAGGTTTTGTTTTTGAAGGTGTTGAAACTGTTAACTTTTATAAAGTTTACCTATTTTTATCTATTTAAGAACTTAAAATGAATGTTTTATTGGTATGTATTTTCATTTAGTTGTTGGACTTCCTATGTAGAAGTGATAACTGCTACTTCTAGCTGTAGATTTAACCTTAGAAACCATTGGTCAGTTTCATGGTATGTCCAGAAAAAAAATGTACATCAAGCTTCAAAAGTTCATCGTCGTGTATTTATAAATTATGATGCTATATACATATATATATATATATATTCATATTGAAAATGTTTTGGAAAACTGCACATAGAATAGCATTACAGTGAGATGTTTGCACTAATGGTTCTCATTACTGTTAGTCCTCAGGTGGAAAACTTGCAGTTCTTGGATCAGTGCACATGATGTCAGATCAATATATAGATAAAGAAGAAAACAGTAAAATCAGGGTAATTCCTTATATTTCTCTTTCTTTAGTTTTATGTTAGTTACTTGATATGCATTACAAGAAAGTTGCTAATGACAAAAAAAACTTTTACAATAATCTGAGATAGTTTGGTGAATTAGTAGGTACAAACAAAAGTTAGGAAAAATGTATATTAGGAGGGTTGGAAATGTTATTTTTAGATATATATATCTTATGGATATCTTGTATATCTTTGTAACATTATATCTTTTTTGAATATACAGAATGTATAGGCCTTACAAATTTTCCCTTTATTTTTAATTATATTGAACATTTTCATTTTGTATTGATGTTTTTATGTGGAGTTGAAGACGTTTTTAAATGCAACTTTTTGTACATGTGCTGATTGGATATAATATAGCTATGTTTGTTCATTTGTGTGTTGTGTCAATGAAAAATTTTCCTTTTACTGATGCTTAAGTTTTTCCTTCAGAGATAACTATTACTGATTTACACCAATAGATGGCAGCAATACATGAATATATTATACTGCTATTAGTCATGATCTAGCGTAAAGGTAGAGCCTGTGTAGAGTAGTGTCTCTTTGCATTGATAAGCTCTCATGGGACATGCACATAACGTATTCTTCCAATTAGAACTCGTATGTTGTTACAAATTTTTCTCAGCAATTGGTGAAGCTAATATTTGGGAATGCATAGAAGCCAGTCATAGCATCTGTGGAAAAATAAAACTAGTACCAGTAATTTATTGCTGTTAATAAACAGCACAGACAGATAGATTGCTAATTGCCAATACCGTTTGTGATTTTATAAAAATATGATTTATATTATCTGAAGTGTTATCTCTTTTCAATAATTTGTATTGCCTTCACCTTGTGTAAGTGTAATTTGTTACACCTTGTGTAAGTGTAATTTGTTACACCTTGTGTAAGTGTAATTTGTTACACCCTATGTAAGTGTAATTTGTTACACCCTGAGTAAGTGTAATTTGTTAGTGTAAGTGTAATTTGTTACACCTTGTGTAAGTGCTGGATCTGATCAAACAATGACTTTTGTTTCATATTTGCTGCAACAAAAGTGGAAATTACTTTTGAGCCCAGAATGCTGTTCCTTTATGAACAAAAGGCTTTCTCTTCCATGTGTTCATAGTGAATGCCTTTTGTTCACATTATAAAATGTTTTATATCATCATGAGCACTATCTGAATAAAATTGTCCAATGTCATGCTATATAAATTAATGATAAAACAATATTTTAGTAATAGATAGAAGCTGATACAAAGATAAAAACATCACACACATCTGAAAACAAGGGAATGGATGAGCACTTCTTCATAACTACACGACTCAAACTTTTTTCTTACCAACAGTTTAGAGGTAAACTATTATGATTGAAAATACCATATACAACTGATGAGTCAGTGCGTTATTTTCTGATGTTTATGTCTACTTTTCATTTTTGCTTTTAGTTATACTCGATTAGATATTCAGAATAAGGTTTTTGTGTTGTCGTATAGTTAGTTTACTTTAGATCAGAGGATAAATGATATATTGTTACGATAAAACACATTACATCACTGTACGAAACCTAGTCTTCATTTGATTTGCCCTTGTCCAGGGTTCCTGAAGAGATTGGAATTCCTCAAGACTGGTATAACTCAGTGACAAGAAGTAAAACAGATTATAGATAGGCTTCACATTTATTTTCTAATAAATTTCTAAGTTCACTAAATATTAACTTACCATTGTCCATTGTTATCATCATCAGGCTGCTACTAGAGCTTGTATAAGAGCAAGTAGGAATAGATGAGGTTAGTTGAGCTTCCTTCTGAAAATTCCATCTGTGTTGATTTTTAAAATTTTACATATACATATTTTATTTTAGGCCATGTTTCATCTATAATTATATGTGCTATAATAGAGTACAATTGTTGTTTTACAGGATGTAATTTTCCAATTTCTAACATCTGATGAGATAAAGCTAAATAGTATTGATTCTGATGATCCTGAGGTAAGATTTCCACTAACTTGTTTGAATTCTCTTTTGTCCTAAGTACGAAGGCACGCATGTTAAATACAAGAACAACTAAGATTTCATTTTCAATATTTACATGATTAGAGTTGAATTGGTAGTGATCATGCTTTTTTAAAGTTTTATTGTAAATTAAAGATGAAATTATAGAAATAGATTAGATATTGGCTTTGTTTTAACTCCTACAGGCTTAATTAAAACATGCTGAACTTATTGGATACGTGTCATGTATGTAAGTAAAGCTAGATATTAGATTATTTTAAAACTATATAACATGTCTCCAGTATCAGCTTTATTTAGTATATATCATAATAATTTCTGTTATAGGTACAATATTAATATGATGTTTTAAATATCTTGAAAATTGTCCCAAAACCTTTCTCTCTGACAGAATTACAACTAATATACCATTCCTAAGATTATTTAGTTAACATTAAAGATTTAATCAGAATATTTCTGTCCAGCTGTGTAGTCTTCATTTTTTTGTTATTTAACTATTTATTTTTGTGAAAAGTAACCACCAATAGAATATTTCTGAGTATGCAAGTAGTTTAAAACCATAAACATTTTTACATCCAAGTGTTAAACATCATGCATGGAGAAATAAGCTTTTTGTACATTATTGCATAATTTTTTTTTTAGTTTTGTAAAGTATATTCAAATGAATCATTCTTGAAATGATATGGACTGCTGAAACTAATTTGTCCGCTATAACACAAATTGTTTTATTGGATTCTTAATATGGTGATTCATTGGCTAAAGCTATACTATGTAGACATGTGTTAAAAGTGTATTTGCATTGATTAGTTTTCTACTTAAGCTTATGATTTACTTACATCAACCCCTAGCTTTCAGGAGTTAATTTAAACAAACTTTCTAGATATTTGACTACTACATGATCCCTTCCATTGGCAAATTGGCAGAGCAGCCATTTAGCTGTTTACAAGAAAGTGAAGAGATTCCTTCAGATTACACAAAACTTTTTGACAACAAACTGTTTTCAATGGACAATACCATATTACCAACAGTTATTAGGTATGTTTTACTTAAATCCTTTTAACTAAGTCTTTCAGTTGGAGTTTTCACAAAGAAATTAAATTACAAAAAATACTTTAAGTTTTTAAGTACAGACTGAAGGGTAGAATAAATTATATTATAATGATTTTGTATATGCAAATCAGCAAGTCATATGACAACCACAGCAGATATAAAGCTGTAGTGAAGTGGATTGTATCAGAATTACAGTTTACATTTTTAGTGTTTCATAAACAGTGTGATGCCACTGAAAATTTGTTTCTTTGGGATGTGTATGTGCCCTTTATGATATCCATACACAAATTTTAATATATTGAGATAGAGGTTTTAAAATTTCCAAGATGGGGATATTACTTTTATTTAGTGGCATTAGAAAACAAAGGAGTATGGATCGAATGTGGGTACCAGAACCATCCAGAAAGAGACTTGCAGCAAGTCATGACTTAGCTGCAGTAAGCCAAGTGTAATGTCTCGCAATAGATGAGAAACCACAAACACAAAGGGCAGTGGCAAAAGCTATCCACTTGTCTCAAGCAGCAGTCCACAACATGATCAAGAAGGATGTCCATCTGGAAAGTAACAAAAGCTGCTTTCATAACACATCTTTTCAATTGTTGCATACCTCAAACAGCTGGAAAATGAAATAAGTATTCATGATATTCAATTGGAAGACAATACAGATCAAGTCATTGCATTTAAATTTTTGTGCGATCAGACTTTTGAGACTAGTACTAGGAGACCATTGTCCTCTTGCACTATATAAATTTTGTAAAGCCAGCATTGTGCTTCAGACATGAAAGTTTTATGATGGAGCTTTTTGCAGTGTAAATTATACTGCAGAGTTATTGTCAAGATGCACATTCATCAGATAGAGCATGACCAGACATGGTGATATAGATCGGAACAATGTGGTGGCAATCAATAAAATGTTTTTTTTTCACTGAAGAAAAATATATTTATTTAGTATTCTGCTGATAATTTCACAAATGATAGCATTTCCAATTAAAACATTAATATCGTTCTTAGTATTGGATATAATAATTGAAGATTTATTATACTGCGACTTATCAGTCTCATCATATGCAGTACAGTAGGAGAGGTCAGAATACTCTAACCTTCTTAATAATACTTCTTACACTTAAAACTATTTATTAGTATAATTACTTATAAATAGGCATTTACCAGGTCTATTATAATCGAGAACATAATAAACCATTTATTTAAGAATAAGCCTCCAGATTATCAGGGGAGATCTTGGTTTTGATGACGAGGAACCCACTTTGAGACTAATAATGCTAATAATGATGACAAAACCTTGTCGAAACGTTGTACATTTGCTGTTATGTTAAAGTTATATTAAAGTTTTTCTTCATTACCCATTCAAGCCATCCTCAAGCATTATTAGAGGATATCTTATTTATCAATTTGAGGGACAGAATAACCACAAAGTGGAATAACCTTGCTAGTAATGTATTCACTACATGGAATCATCTGGTCATGTGCTTTATGTTTTAATCATCAGATTGGGGAAAGAAAACCTAAAAGTATTGACAATGTTATGATTGCCCAACTGAAATCTTGCTATAATAACTAAGACACAATATACCAAAGAGTTACATTGAATGATTAATTAGTTTTTCATTTCAATTTAAGGAGACCATTTTTATCCTTTTTTTAGAACATTTATTCACTTACTTCAAAGATACATCAATAGTCTAATATCATTTGGCTCAAGCTGTATAAAGTTCTTAACCTGTTAATGAAACGTATTGTCCATCAAGCCGTAAGTTACAGGTGAAATGACCGAAGTCAGTCAAGTGGGAAAATTTATGATGTATCTTTAAAAAAAAAAAAGGAATTTTATAACAGAAAGCTGATCTTTTATCTTCAAGATAATTATAATTTTTGTTTAAAGGTATAAATTTAAGTAGGAATATTTATGAAACAAATATTTCAATAACTTTTTGTCTTCATGGTTTGTTAGAAGGACAAATCGCATGCAGTAAGCAAGTGTAAAAATTTCAATTATTGTATTAATTTATATGTAACATATACTTACATTTGTTAGATCCTATGAGCAGCTGAACATGAAACATGAACCATTGCGACTTATCAGCCCACAGTTTGAAACTCCTTTACCTCCATTACAACCAGCAGTAAGTAATGGTATTCGTGTATACAAAATAAAACAGTTTGCATGTATAAAAACAGTGTCTCACGTCAAATGGATGTATAAGTAAATGCATGCATTTTTTTCTAGATTTATTTCTGCTAACATTGGATTCAAATAAGCTCAACATAGTAATATAATTTTACAAAGAGGTAGCTAAGATTATTGTTGGAAGTTATTCATAATGAAACATTTAATACTATATATAAATAGTCACACACAAACATATATATATATATATATATATGTACACAAGTTTAAGCTTGCAAAACAAATATGAAAATAATATATGCAACTATAATATTTACCCAAGACCCAGAAATCACTATTCTATGATAATTGTTTTCCGAATAGAACTTTTTTTTATGAAAAGATGTATAATGTGACATTTGTCTGTAGTTAGTTCCATAAATATATACATATATGTATATCCATGTTTGTTTTCCAATTGTTTTAATAAACGAAGTGAATAGCTTTTGCAGTCATACAAATAGTTTCATAATGTTTTGTAAGTTTTCAGATCAAGAACTTGAAAGTACCATTTCCTATAGTGGAGTGTAACATACACTTGAAAAGTTTCATTAGATAGCATTCTTTTTTTTTAATCTGTGATTTTAGTTTAGTTTTAAAATATTAATTTCTGTTACTGTACTAATGTTGCAACATATGCTGTTATAAAAGTGGAGTGAGATTGATCTTTATGCTGTAACATATTTCCTATTTTAGCAGGTGTTCTTTGCTATTTATTTACATAACTAACCAGTTTACTGAGTTTTTAATAAATTTATGTTGGTGTCAGGTTTTTCCGTCTTCTTTCCGTGAACTCCCAAAACCTGCCCTGGAACTGTTTGATCTTGATGAAGCTTTCAGTTCAGAAAAGGCCAGACTAGCACAACTGACCAATAAATGCACTGATGCAGACCTGGAATATTACATTCGCGAGTGTGGGGATATTCTTAACATCTCCAATAAACTTCCACTGGGTGGTCGTACTGCAAAACACATTTTAGAATATATCTTATCACAGGTAGCTGAGTTTAAGAAGCTAAATCAGGTATGAAAAAATTTGCACAGTTTAATAAATGTTACAAATAAGTAATAGCTCATTTGATACTTTATTGATTAGTATATGTATTCTTGTATAGTAACAGTAAGTAAATAGGTATCTGAATTTTCTTGATGTGTGT